GCCATGGCGGCGGGAGGACGCGCGGTCCCGGTGCCCGGGCCGGGCCATGTGCGCGGGCCCGGCCCCGGAGCGGAGCCCGGCAGCCCGGGCAGGGCATCCCCCGCCTCTCCCACCGCTCCCGGATCCCGGGGGACAGCCTGGAAGAGCTTCCCGCCTCCCGGGATGCTGAGGGAGGACGGGGAGCAGCGCCTCAAAACGGTTCAAAATGTCCAAAACTCCTGGATTTTCCAAATAAATCCAAGGAGAAGCGATTTAGACGCGCGGAGATCGCCGGTGAAGCGAGACGAGGGGAGCAGGGGACTCTCTTTTCCCTCTGCTGTCTCTCCCTGGGATTGGGACTCCCAGTTTCTCCCAGTTTCTCCCAGTTTTCCCCAGTTTTTCCTAGTTTTCCCAGTTTTTTCCCAGTTTTTCCCCTTTTTTTTTACATTTTTTTTCCAAGCTTTTCCCAGTTTTTCCCAGTTTTCCCAGTTTTTTCCCAGTTTTTCCACTTTTCCTCACTTTCCCCCCATTTTTTCCCAGTTTTCCCCACTTTTTCCCACTTTTTTCCCCAGTTTCTCCCATTTTTTCCCAATTTTTTTCCCAGTTCTGAGAAAACCAGACTTATAATTCCTCTTCCCAAGGTTCCTGCTCTGCCTGGAGAACGCGGAGGGCACCAGAACATTCCAGATCCCACCTGGAATCAGCCCCAGGGCGGGCTGAGGCTCAGCCAAGGCTGATGTTGGGTATTCCCAGGTTTTTTTTCCCCGATGTTTTTCATCCCAGGTTTTTTTCCCGATTTTTTTTTTCCCTGCCAGGCTCTCCCAGGGGGATTCAGCAGCTCATTAAGGCCGGGAAGCTGCTCCTGGGACACTTCCTGAGGATGGGAATTCCAATCCCAGCTCCTCTCAACCAGGAAATTCCTTCCCAAAAATTCCATTTATTCCATTCCCTGTGTCCCAGTGCTCCAGGCCCTTTTCCAAAGCTCCTCTCCAGCTCTCCTTCATCAGAACTTTCTCTACAAAAATAAAATAAAATAAAATAAAGTAAAATAAAATAAAATAAAATAAAATAAAATAAAATAAAATAAAATAAAATAAAATAAAATAAAATAAAATGCAGGAGGGAGATAAAAACAAGGAAAACCAGAGAGTTTAGGATTTGAGGAAGGACAGGAATTCCAAAGCCCAGGGAGAGGGGAAGTTTTCAGCCAGGCTGACAATTATTTATCCATCTACAGGAGCTCATTTTCTTTTAAAATCCAGCAGTTAAGAGAATTTTTTTTTGTGTTTTTCCCAGCTCTTCTTTTAAATAAAAAACAAAAACAGCGAAAGGGACCAAGCAGGGAGGAGAAGGAAAGGAAGAAAAATCTCCTTTGGGGATGGAAAAATCACCTTTGGGGATGGAAAAATCTCCTTGGGGATGGAAAAATCTCCTTTGGGGATAAAAAAATCTCCTTTGGGGATGGAAAAATCTCCCTTTGGGATAACAAAATCTCCTTTGAGAATGGAAAAATCTCCTTGGGGATGGAAAAGTCTCCTTTGGGGATGAAAAAAATCTTTGGGGATGGAAAAATCACCTTTGGGGATGGAAAAATCTCTTTTGAGGATGAAAAAATCTCTTTTGAGGACGAAAATATCTCCTTTGGGGATAAAAAAAATCACCTTTGGGGATGGAAAAGTCTCATTTGAGGATGCAAAGGGCACAGCTCCACCACTCCACATCTCCCCTGGCTTTGTCTCTGCTCCCCACTGGCAAAATCCGCCAGCACCCCCCAAAATTTTGGCGCTCAGGGGAAAAATTGCAGGAGCTGAATCCAAAAAAAAACCAAAAAAACCAACACAGAGAGGGGCAGCACCCAAAAATCAACCCCAAAGCTCCTAAAGCTGCATCACGGGGGTGGCTCCAGTGACAATCAACTTCTTCTTTTTAATTTTTATTTTTTTTTTTAGGGGATAAGAAATTTCCTACTTCGTGCAACTCCCGTTTTGTTCTGCTCCCACTGCCGGGTGTTTGCAATTCAACGTGGGCTTGTTCCTATCTTAGATAGCATCAGCCAGGGAGAAAAAAAAATATAGGACAGACAAAGGGATGGAATAAAAATCAAGCAGGGTTTGGGAGGGGAAAAAAAAAAAAAAGATAAAAGCTTCATGGAAAGAGGTTTTAGGAAAGCAGCTCCTGTGTAAACAGCTCCTGTTTTAATGGGGAAGAAGCAGCAGAAAAGGGGAAAATAAACATAATTTAATTGGGGATTTCTGGTGAATGTTAATCGAGGTGGAAAATGGATTTTGTGAGAGTGGTGGAGGGATACAGAGCCCCCAGGAAAACTCAGGGCAGGCAGGGAATTCCAAAACTTATCCAAAGCCTTCCCCAGGGCTCTGCCTGGTGGCTGGAGAGGGCGTCAGGAGGGAATGGGGAGCACAGGGAAAAGCCAGGACGTGATGCAGCAGCTGAGCAGAGCCTGCCCAGCACTGGAGCTTCTATTTTAATCCAAGCACCAGGAATCCAAAATCCACGGAATGAACAGAGCAGCTCTGGGAGATTTTGTGCCCCTGGGGCAGGAAAAGCCTTTGGGTCAGGGGAAGGGTTTGGTTGGTTTTGGGGATTTCACGAGGAAAAGCCGCTGGTTGCTGCTCTCTCAGGGATTTCTGTATTCTGGATTCAGGATTCCAGCCTGGCTTGGGTTGGAGGGAATGTTAAATGTTAAAAACTGATCCCGTTCCCACCCCAGGGACAGCTCCAGCAGGCCAGGCCCTCACCAAGGCCTCGGTTCCCGGTTTTGGGATCCTCACGGGGGAAATCATCGCCTCTCCAAAATCCCAAAGACTCTGCTGGGTGCCCATGGAATATTCCAAGGCTCTGAGGGACCCACAAACACCAGCAGCCTTTGTTTTTAGGAGCACCTTGAAGTGCCAGGAGAAATAAATCAGTTCCCATGCCTGTGTTCCCTTCCATGCCCAAAATCTCTGATTTTTCAGACCCAATAAAGCCTTTTTTGCACTGGTTTTTTTTTCCCCATTTCTCTGTGTTTCCTGCTCTCCAGAAGCCACCGATCTCTGCTGGTTTCAAACCTTTATTTCTGAATATTTTCCTCCAGAAAAAAGCTCCCAGCTCCTGTGGTTGTATTTTCAGGGAAGATAAAAGGGAGAGAGGAAATTCAGCATCCACAGCAGGGAGATTATTCCAGTCCAAAAACCTCCATCCCCACTCAATGGGACAATTCCAAATCTTCCCCAGCAGCCAGAGGGAGACGGAATAAAATCTCCAAAATGAAATATTTCTCCAACCAGCACTTGGTGATGCCCAGATCACCCAGCAGCCATCAACACTCCAAATTTCACTTCAGGAAAAACCAGGATATCACCCAGTCCCATGGGAACTCCAGCACACCGTGAGGAGCAGGAGAAAGGCTGGAATTTCTGCTGGAATTTCTTCTTCTCTGCCTCATCCCAGCTCGGAGGTGGTTTGAGGTTCAGCCCTGGAATTTTGGTTATTACACAAACTCCTTCCCACTGTGTTACCTCTCCTGCTAAATGCACAATTCCCCCTCCTGAAATTCCCACATCCCAATTGGAATTCCTGCCTGCTTCTCCTCACCTGACCAGCTGGAAACCACATGGAAACGACATCTAAAAAAAAAATAAAAAATAAAATAATCTCATTTCAGAGCCTGCTGTTTGTGCAAACAACCCCAGGCCCGAAATAGCCGAGGTGCGAAACTGTGCTTGGGTGGAATTCGGGGGAATTCATTCACAGAGGAGAAAAAACACCCAACATTTCCAAAAGAGAAACAGATCTGGGGATGTGGAATCACGGCTCTGATTCCCTCCTCGCTAAGAGAGGCTTTATCTGGGATTTTCTGGGAAGGATGAACCTTTCCCGTGGCAGCCATGGCTGACCAGGCCTCGATGAACCTGACCAGGCCTCGTCACCCTCATCCTCCTCCACAGGAAATCTCCCCTCAGAAAAGGCATTTTGGGCCAAATCTTGGGAAAGAAAGTGTTTTACCTGTGCTGGAGAGCAGCTCCCAGGAAAGGTGGATCCCAAATCCGTGGTGAGGATAAGCTCTGGGGTCACCACTGGCAGGGACAAACGTGGCTCATCAGGCCTGGCCTACACCGAGATGTTCCTTTCCTGCCCCAAGCTGATTTGGGAAATATTGGGAATTATTGATCAGGGAATCATTCCCCCAGCTCAGCCAGCTGTTTGAATTAACCCCCATTGTTCATTAACCCCTCCCAGCCCTGGGGGGAGCTCCTGCAGCTCCAGGCCAGGATAAACGCAAATTTTGTGGTGTTTTACACTCAGTGATGGCTCCAGGAGAGTTTGGGGTTTCTCCTGGGATGTGTGTGACCCAAAGAGGGGCTCCTGTCCCTTTTCCTTCTCATTTCAAAGCTTCTCCAGGTGTTGCCCACCACCAGCTCCCACCTTTTGTCACTCAGGGCCAGGACCTCTCTGAGTTTTGTCCCTGTCTGATTTTCACATCCCATTCCCACAAAAACCCTTCCCTGCTCTCCTAGGAAAACCCAAGCTCCCAAATTCTGCTGCTGAATCCCTCCAAGAACTGCATTTCCCCCCAATAAAACTGAAACCTGGAAGGGAGAATCATTAATAAAAATCCAGTTCTGACTTTATTAGGGGGGAGGGAGGGAGGGA